TGCACAATTTTGATATGTTTGGTTTAATTTAGCTGTCGACAGCCCCCTGGGAAGGGACGATCACTTGGACATCTGGCTTCAGGGTCTCGCGACCCAGCCAGATGACGGGGTAACTCCCTTAATAGACCCTAGGGTCAGCATATCGGGGCGTGACAACGTTTCGGGATGAAAGTCAAATGATCTTGAAATACAAGTACAACAAAGACAAAATCCGATGTTTTTTTAAATTATGTAAATAACTTTAATAAATTTTCCCTGTTCCTAGGGCTCATTGGCAAGAACGCTCGGATACATGTCTAATATTTTTCGACTTTGAATTTCCAAAAATGTTCAATTTCAATCGGTGATTCCACGTCCAATGCCGGGGGAGGCCTGTCAGTTCAATTTTTATTGAATTTTATTTAGTAGTTTTAATTATTAAGGTCAAAACTGTTATTTTCCTCACTTATAATGTCACAGAAATCACTTGAAACTAATTAAGCTTTCTAACGGTTAAAATATTTATTTTGTGTTTGTCATAAAAATCCGTGTAAATTGGTTTTAAATAGGGCTTATTACAAAGCGTCTTTCGGTTTTTATATCTTTTATTTATCTAATCTCATGAAATATCATCCTGCATATTATTTTCTTATCCTAGGTGAAAAAATCGACTAATATATATAACAACTCTAAAATACATACACAACAAAATCAGAAAAAATAACCAAAAAATATATACATTACTTAATTTTTTTAAATGTTTTAAAGTAGGTATTTAAATTTGGTGAATCTCAATAAACGCTTGTACATTGATATACATATATTTTCTGGTTTGGTCTCAGCTTTTGTAATTATTTCGTTCATCTTCGTATCAATATTACTCTTCATTTCTTTACTCTTGCTGAAAATTTATTAATTACTTTACAGGGGTAATACACATTCTTCTTGAAGATCTATGTTTAAATAAACTTTTCAGAATTTTAAAATTTTATGCTGGTTGATACGATTGTATAGTAGCGTTTATTATTCTAGCAGGATTTGTTGTTCCGTATGCTTTTATTTATATTAATTTATATGTATCTTTTTAATAGTGTCGTTTATATTCGTTTCTCTGTATTTCTTTCCTTTATTCGTTTTGTCCTTTTATAATATACTATTATAGAGAAGTAATAATTATTCATATTTTGAGATGTATTGGTAGAATCGTATTGTTTTGTTGGCATAGCAATTTTTTTTCTTTCACGACTTTCTTTTTTTTTTCTTGTGTGAACACTATTTTCTGTCAGTCGTCGGCTAAATGCTACCGCATCTCACTGAAATACATCGGACATGTAGCGTCTTCTTCAGTATAAATAAGTCCCTTCACACGTGATACTAATGCAATAAAGGTACGTTAAAAAACAATAACAACAAACAATAAAAACAAACAAGGTGCAAACAAAAGCAAACACAACAGGGAGTTAAAAACCTAAACTAAATCTAACCTAATTCACCACGTCCATATATCCTTAGCCATTCACGTAAATAAATGCTTTCATGCACGTAGAACCTTTGAACCTGTATATACAACTAAAAGTTGGAGAGGCGATGTATTCGATAGTCCAGTAACTAGTTTGACAGATCCCTGAGATACTCTATTCCGCCGTATCCCCGTGCCCACAGTTAGTCACGCAAATAAATACATTCTTACATGTTCTCTCTCCATACTTTCCATACCGAGAACATTTTTTCTCTTAACATGTGTCCTCAAGGGGCATTGTCGACCAGTTAGTATTGTGACCAGCAAAAAAAACCACATACGCACATATTTGTAATAGTATTTTGATATGTACAGACTACAAATACATTTTATTTTTAAAAAGTTAACTTTATTGACAATTGAGTTATTCAACAATAATTAAATACTAGTTTTTTCCCTACTGTGAGCAATTTTTATCACTTATCGTCTGCATGCGGGGGCCCCTTCGATATTAGTATCTCATAGATAGTATTAATCATCACAAAAGATGGTTTTGTGTTTTTATGATTTTCATGAGTTCAAAATATTGATAAAAAAGTTTAATTTTATTATTCCATTTATACTTAACCCTCAAATAAAATGGGAATAATGTTTATTAAGGGGGCAATCCTTACATTTGTACACAATTTAAAAAATTTATATTTTTCCCCTTTAAAAAAAGGCTACCACCAAAGAACATTCACGTAAAAATGGAACTAAGTAAATTTTCAACTGAAACAAAGTAGATTCTAATAAAAGCTAGACAAAGCTGACAACTCATAGTTTTTACAAAACCTACTTCATAAAAGTACGCGACGTGAGCAGTGTCGTTTAATAAGCTTAAAGTATTGAGAGATTTTCAGTGAATCGATTCTACTTTTTTCATATTATTTAATCATTCAAATTCACCGTCGGTTTGTTGTATAAACTCCTAGAGAGCCATGATTTATGACACATTATGGGTAAACTTGCAAGATTGCAAGAATAACGATCCTGTGGCCATCTCATCATGGGACATGCAAGATTCCAATCGAGTGGTCCGCAATTACCGGTATCAACATAATCTGATACCTAACCTAGTTTTTTGCCGGGCTAAATGCACAACAGATGTCGAAAGTTTAAGCTATACATTTTTTTTTCTTTCAATTCTATAACTTTGACATGCTTAAAAAAGTAACTTACAGGTTATAATATGGCGTTAAAACTTCATCATGTATTCTAATTTATTTATCATTTATAAATATGTTCCCGGAATTATAAAAATAAAAGACTTCATATTTTTGTGAAATTATTAACTTACTACTCTCGTATTGGACGAAGAAGACAAACGTAAAAGTTTACTCAAGTAATTTTAGAGTAATTAACCATCCCATATAGTGGCTTCTCATACCTTATCACCAATAACCAATACATATTCCATATAGTGATCTAACCTTTGATAACCATCCCTAATCTTCATTAATCATAATTAACCATCATTAAATGTTCTTAATGCAACAATCAGTATCCATTTATAATGATTTTTAACCCAACCTTAGTCAACTAATTCCAATCATCACTGACGATTTCTAAACATCAATAACCACATGTAGTACATCCTTCTTGTATATTACCTTTTGTTGCATAATAAATGGTAGTTGATGGTGGTTAAATGAGGTTAGGAAGCGGAGGGTTGGGTATAACCATTGCAGTCTTTTGGTTTATTGTCCTTTTCTCAGTTCTTTAGTTCAGATCAACCTGAGATCATTGATCGCTGTTGTGGAATTCTTTATCCCAGAACATCATCTCCCTATGTCCAATGAGTGTTGGTTTGCATTGAAATATAATGTAGGTGGTAGTTCCTTTCTCCTTATAACCTATAAATTGGATCATCATTGAATCTACATGTTGTGTGTGTGTTTTGTCAGATACCAATGACCAATTACTACTACCCTATTCTAACTAATAACCATATTCCTACTATCCTTGATACAACTATTGCTACACTTGCTAGCTAGCTCTAATCAGCTTAATCCTCCATATTAATCATCTAATGAACCATAGCCTAACCTCTCTAAGATCTAACCAACCAGATATTTCATTCATGTTACACGCGTGTTATTATGAGCTCAGATTGATCCAATGAGTAACCTAGTTTAATATAAGAACTAAATTTATCAGCCATCCTTGATTGACCCAACCACCCGTTTTTATCACCTCTTTAATTTAATATAAAAAAAATCTTATGTATGGCTGTCAGACATGTCATTACGTATTGGCAAATTTTGAGTAAGATAAAAGTATATTTTAGAAATTAGTGAAAAGTAAATAGCAATACAGCACTGTAGTAAATAAAGAAAAACCATATTTTAAAACTAACATTTCACCGAAACATTGAATGCAAAACATTCTCAATTCAAATCAAGTTTGTGTTAAACAAATTTTGCCATTGACTTTAAATAATCCATAAGAGACATTTGAACATTTGAGAAAACAAAAATAATATTAGTAAATATATTCAATTAGCATAAAAATCTTCAGTTATTTCAGGCTTTATTGTTTGATGTAGGTTTTCCTTCGACTGGGATTCCAGAAATTAGTGAAACTTGAGGACGTATAAACTTTAATTTGTCTAAATAGTACTGTTTAAATTACCTTATTTTTATTTTATTTATTTATTTAATAATTTACACCAAAGAACACAATGATTGTAAAATACCCATTGCATTTATTTTGATTAACAAGCTCCTTCTCCAAATCAATAAAGAAAAAAATTTAACTTTTAGCAGGGAAAGTTCTTTTTAGTTAATAGGTAGGAAACAATGCACTAAATGTCATCTTTCGAAACATTACAATTATTTTTAGTACAAAAATAATGTGTATCCCATCCATTATGGTTCCCGTGACGTAAATGATTTTCAACAGTTTTAATGGCTTAATATTTTTATCTAGTTTATGGTATATTTATAAGTGATAAACTGTATTTAAGTCCTTTGCCAATAAGAGAAGAAAATGGTATTCGTGCTATCTAGTGGCTATGAGCAAGACCTGTTCGTTGACTGTGCTGCTCTCTCTCACTAGGCGCTTGATTTGCAACTTGCAAGGGGGCTTAGTTTTTTTATGCACCGCTATGATGGTACGGGCTTGACTCAAATTACTCGGGGATGGATCAATTTCTTTTCCAACTTTATTCTTTAGCGTAAATTTTTATTGATTAAAACAGGCCGTACCTTTAAAAAATAGTTGACTATGAATTGGATTGTAAACTATGAAAAAAGTAGGAGAATGAAAGAAATGATATCTTTATTGAGATAAGTAATTTCGCAGTCCACCGATTCTTATACCCCTCGTGACCGATGTTTAAAATGCATATGGTCTCGCCTTATATGTTAGGAATGTTAATCGTTTAGTGATCTTAACAGCCCGTATGTTGTGATTCAATCAACAATCGTTTACAGCTTCCATGTTTGAATTCACAGCTTTCAACCCCCTTGGCCTGCTTTTTGGGTTTTTAAACTGTATTTTGTATAAATTTCAAACTCACCTCCATGTCAAGTTGGTGTAAGGCCATTTTTCACCCTGGACTGTAAATCTTTTTTTTCTCCGGCTCGTCTCGACGGGAAAGTCTTTGACGCCGCACCTCGGGAGAGACATCAAGGCCCTCGTCGCCTCGTCCATCTCGCCAGTCTCAGGGATGTTTCCGAAACGCTGTGGTAAAAAAAAATTAAAAGTTTAAGCAATGTCAAATACAATCAAACAGACTTTTACTGGCCACAAGAAACAAGTCTAGAAGAAAAAACGACTCCGATCCACAAAAGTTTAACGTTTTAGAATTTCAAAGTAATTAACCCTTTTATATAGCAAACAGTAGCATAAAAACATTTTTCCGGAACAATCAATATGATTCCCAAACCTGTAAAGAAGCGACATCAACTCTTATCGATCGCGTTGCTAACTAAGTTTCTTGTTAAATATTTTCGAAAGTTGTCCAAATTTTTTATGCACTTTATCCAACAATCAATTTGTATCATCCATGCCCACAACTTCATCAAGTGGGTACATTTCGTACTGCGACGAAGAAAAAAAAATCTCTCTGGAACTCTTCATTGAAGCAAAAAAGTCATTTGACGAGGTTGGGTCTAGTCCTTGGCGAAGGGGATTTTAATCGCCTGGTAGGGTAAAGGGGTGGAACATGGACATATTGGGCTAATGGGTTATGGTAAAGGGAGTATGGTAGAACCTTAAAAATCTATATGAATTAGCATATCTATAAAGGGTTTTTTGAGGTCGTTGTGATGGGGGTTGGAAAATCACAAGGTGCTGAGATTAGTAGGTAGGTTGACTGTGATTCTGATGACTGGATATTGTAAGGTTTAGCATGCTCTATTCCGTACCCTTAAATCGATGTCAGTAGTATGTTTACTCCATTCGGCTATTATCTGAACGTGAACCTGGAACTCCTCCGAAGCAATTGCGTGGTCGTCAGAGGCGACGGTCGTGATGAAAGGATGCAAAGGACAGTGTGTTTGAAGTATCTGTGGTGTAAAGGAGAAACATTGGTCCGAAGTATATGTAGGTTCTTTTTTGAAATAAAGGATGATGCGGAATGCAGTCACTTAGTCTTTCTTTTTTCCTACTTGTCTTTGCACAATCGAAACTCATGAAAAGCAAAAGTATGTGGTGATTTGGTGCTGACTTGACCGAAGTTTTAGTAAAGCATATTTCGACTATCCTTACGTCTTCCAAACAGTAGTTAATGAACCTGCAGCACCCTATATTTAAGCAGGACTCCACTGGCTTAAGTCAGTCGCGTCGAAGAGTTCTCACATTCACTGATGAAGCAGCCACGCATGCATTAAGCAATCCTCTCAACATCTTACACTCATCGCTCTCAGCTGTCCTTGATCCACTCGACAACAATAAAAGCTTTTTCTACAACCATCATCTTCATCGACAGTGTGAATGGCACTGCAAACTACCGTCGGGGCCCGCTGCCTATCCGAGAATATATAGTGCTCAATACTACCACTGCATCATATGCCCTTTTCGGGGGCATACTTACTTTAAATACTTACACACTTCACTACCGGCCAATGGTGGTTTTTAAGCATAATTCTTCGGTTTATATCTACTGTATCGACTATAAAAATAACCACCTAATTCATTGGTGTCTGGTACCTACTGGTTATACCTGTCCTTCTCTAACAGTCTCTAAATATTAGTTACAATTTCTACTGATTCCTAGCCACTTTTAACAATAGCATAGATGATCACTTCAAATGATCAGTAATCATTTCTTCCGATTGGTATCAATTAGATTCACTATCTCTAACCACATTGATGGATGATATTAATGATCACTATCAGGTAACACAACCACCTATTTTTTTGTTTCTATAAAATACTTGGACTTACTAATTTTTTACATGTGTTTCAACTAATTCGATAACACTTTTCCTACCTGTTTGTTTCATTTTTTATATTTGTTTATTTTTGCGCTCGTACCTTTAACCGTGGGGTCTAATCTCGTGAAATGCTCCAGTTGTGATCCATCGACCCTTTAAAAAATGCATTTCCCCTATCTATCAAGGCACGTCAATTCAAACGTCGGCATATATTATTGAGAGATCACGGACAATGCTGTCGAATAGCCGATTGCCAACTGGACGGAAACTGGTAAAACGGATAAAACATTTGGAATATTCAGGAGAGGACCTTTCTGTTGAAATATGGCCTTGTTTATCATAAATTCACAAAAGTTATATTACCAAAACTGCTGAAGTTATTCCCATCTCGTTTTGGATCTAACGAGGGGAACACCGATTTTAAAGAAACTTTGGTGATACTTACTACAAGCCAATGCGCCCTAGATGAGAAAAAATATTTCCGCTAATCGAAGCATTTTTTTTTTAAATCTCCGTTCCAGTTTCTCTCGTAGGTATACTAGGAGCCGTAGATGAATAATAGATTTTTTTTTTGTTACTGTGGAAACCCTTTTTATTAACAGTAAATCAATGAAATGTAAAATATAAACTAAATAAATGCTTACAATTAAAATGAAAAATAAAATAAAATACATCTTCCACTATACAGCATGGTAATAAACCGTACATCAGAATGTTACAGACTGTTAATCATCAATAGAGATGGTTAGAGATTTTTTTCAGAATTTTTCATTTATGATTGTAATTGGTTAAGTGTGGTTAGAATTTCTTAGAAAAGGTTTGGAGTGATTTGAATTTGTTAGAGGTGGTTAGGAACTTGACCAAGTTGAAAATCATGTTCGAAGATAGATTGTTATGGGATTGTTAAACTTGGTTAGCTATAATCAGAGATGTTTAGAGAAGGTTTACATTTGTCAGAGATGGTTAGGAATTTTTAAAATGTGTTAGTTAAGATTAGAGATGGTTTATGGAAGGTTTAAATTTGTCGGAAATGGCGAGAGATGGTCACAATTTGTTAGTTATCACTGGAGGTGTTTATAGATGGTTTAAATTTATCAGAGATGGCAAGAGATTGTCACAATTTGTTAGTTATGATTGGAGATGGTTAAAATTTGTTAGCATGATTAGAGTTAGCTATGAAAGATTTAAATTTGTCGGAGATGGTTAGCGATTTTAAAATGTTTTAGGTAAGATTAGTGATGGTTATGGAGGGTTTAAATTTGTCAAAGATGATTAGGGATTCTTAATATTATTACTGGTATTTCTCTGGTTGACAGAATGTAACGGAAAATTTGCAAATTTGTCATATATTCGTTTTATAAAATGCGTCAAAAATTTCGTTGAATTAGTCGAGGGGAATTCACATCCGCAGATAAACTAAAAGTGTAATTTCTTGAGTGAGGCTACTTCAATAATAAAAGTAGCCTGTTCCCTTTGTTATATCAAAATATGTTCGGCCAAATTTTATAAAACATTAGTGCAATATGTAACATTTGCTTCGTAATATATCGGGCTTGAAAGTGATTTGCCTGTGTTACCCCCTCTCTAAAAAATAAAAAATAAATAAAATTATTTACTTACCTACTTTACCGACATTAGCGGCATTAATAAAAATTTGTTTTGTAATAATAATATAGACAAATTAACATTTTATTTGACTGAGCTGAATCCAACCCCAAAGCATAACTGGTTTTCTGTGTGCCACTTCAAGAAACATTTATTTTTACGAATAATATAATGTGCAGATATTTAAATAGTACTTTTTTTTGCCGACTAGCTGCTAGGGCCATTGTCGGCTCCTCATGTCGATTCTATCTCGTGGTTTTTCTATTTTTTTTTTTCTCCTAAGACCGACAGGGCGTTTTTTCAGCTTCATTCACGCCAATAAATACATTCATACACAATAAAACTCTCATTCACTATCCTACTTATTCTAAATATAAATTATTAGTTATTCTAATTGGCATGACAAGTCTGTGGGCACTCGATAATCCATCAAAGACGATGTCCATATATACTTAACCCTTCACGCAAATAAATACATACACACAATCGCGTATTTTTACAAATTTATAAAAGTAAAGAACCTAGACTGCTTTGGTATGCCTGTGAGTACTCGCCATCACAAACACACTCGACCATACTCCAATGTTCACGCTAATAAATACATTCACTCAAATTATGAATATTTCAACCAACATATATAATATATATGTTATATCATCAAATTAAAATTGTAGCATAATATTTTATTTTAGTGTATTTTAATGCCAAATGACATTTTTATTGTACAGACACGTTTTAGTCCACCTTTGTAGTTTTACAGTCACATAACAACGCGGCATAAATTGCCTGATGATTGATTAAGTAGAAATTAACTGTCGGAAGCGAAATTGCATAATTGAGACTCTTAATTAACACGAATTTCGTTTTATTCGAACGAGCAACCTTTATCGTGCAAATTTTCAATCTTTGGATGATTTCTATCGATTTAAAATATCGAGTTATTTTTTTAATATAAAAAACAAACCTGTAACTGCTTCATTGCTTGTTTTAATTGATCATCCGTCCTTAAGTATCCAGTCTCGTGGTCAGATTCTGGGAGGTAGCCAAACTGAGTTAAGTAGGATATCTGCAAGAAAGAGAAAATACTCTTATCATAAATTATCAATTAAAATTGTACTTATTTATGAGTGATTTTTTTAAAAACATGATTCCATTTCTTTAGATCCTTGGTAAAATAGGCTCTCTTTTTTTTATTGTCACTCATTCTTCTCTTCTTATGAAAGAGCATTCTATTCGCGTGCTCAGCGAAGCTTATCGAATTCATTATCGCCGCTGGAATTCACAAGTTAAATGTTAACGCCCTGTAGGGCCGGGGTTGTTAAGTAAAAGTAGAAATACCAACCCCCGTCTCGACTTCAGCTTGTTTCGGTTATTCACTTAAAGGGCTGACACTCCCCAATGAACATAAAACAACATACAACCCGTCGTGAATAATGTTTTCAAACTTTAATTTCCTTGTATTATCATCTTACGATTGCTGGAATTGAAAATAAAAGATACCCAGGTTTACCTAGGCTCGACCCAGCTTGCAACTGTTTCTAAAAAGCCTAATCCTTATAAAACCTATATTTTTATAAAGGTTAACATAATTAAGTCAATTAAATAAAATATTAAAAGCCAATTCGTCATATGTCAATTTCTAGTGCGTTATGCCTTCCTGGACAGACGAATATTCAAGTCATTTCATAAAACTGCTGAGAAGCATGTGGCTCCAACAGATGGTTGTTGTGACAAATTGGTTAGTCAGAACAGGAAACCGGTAAAATCATGCTCATCTATTTTTTCTAACATTGTCACATGTAAGTTAAGTGCAAAATTAAGGATATGCAATGAGGTGAGAAATATAACAAGGAAACCTTCAACATGTCAATTAAATTAAAGATGTTTTTAATCATATTTTACTATCTCTTTAGAGATTAATCAATGTAATTCTGGCTCAAAATATATCTTCCATCATTAACAGGTTCATCAGAAATAGTATTACTTTACCCTTAACCGTGAAATTGTTTTAAAACAAACTTAATTCATTTCATGTTTCATAATATGGCCATTAAAGAGCGTGCTTAGGGTGTTAACGATTTGTTATAGATGGTTAAATACCAGACCATGTTGAAATTCATATTCAGACATGATACATCGTTATGAGAATGTTATTTTTTAGCTATGATTAGAGATGCTAGAGAATGTTTATATTTTTCAGATATGGTTAGAGATGGTAAAAATTTGTTTTTTCTGATCAGAAATGGTTATGAAGAGTTGAAATTTGTCAGATATTGTTACAAACTAGAAGAAGTTGTTAGTTACGTTCGAAAAAGATAGGAGATATGTACTTAGAATTTATTAGCTACGATATATGGTTATGAGAACGTTATTTTTTTTAGCTATGCTTAGAGATGCTAGAGAAGGTTTACATTTTTCAGAGATGGTTAGAGATGGCAAAAATTGGTTTGCTCTGATTAGAAATGGTTATGAAGAGTTGAAATTTGTCAGATATTGTTACAAACTAGAAGAAGTTGTTGGTTACGTTCGAAAAAGATAGGTGATACTTAGAATTTATTAGCTATGATTAGATGGTTATGAGAGTGTTATTTTTTTTAGCTATGATTAGAGATGCTAGAGAAGGTTTATATTTTTCAGATATGGTTACAGATGGTAAAAATTTGTTTGTTCTGATTAGAAATGGTTATAAAGAATTAAAATTCGTCTATCATGACTTCGATCCCCTCGGGCACTAACTTCCCATCTCAACCCCACCTTTTGAATTTTCCCTCCTTTTTGCCATTTTTCAAATGTCGTGTAATTGTGTTAGAGCCCGAGGGGATCGAAGTCATGATGGCTCAACTGGTAGAGTAGCGGCGTATCAAGCTGAAGGTCGTGGGTTCGAATCCCGCTCGTGACACTGACTTTTTATCTCAACTTAAAAACCTTAATTAATTGAATGTAACTAACAACTTCTTCTAGTTTGTAACCATATCTGACGAATTTTAATTCTTTATAACCATAATAATTGAATGTTATTAATTGGTCAAGCGGACTACGAAAATTAGTGAATTTAGTTTTTAGTTACGTTCGAAAAAGATAGGAGATACTTGGAGTTTATTAGCTACGATATATGGTTATGAGAATGTTATTTTTTTTAGCTATGATTGAGAGGCTAAAGAAGGCTTATATTTTTCAGATATGGTTAGAGATGGTAAAAATTTGTTTTTTCTGATCAGAAATGGTTATGAAGAGTTGAAATTTGTCAGATATTGTTACAAACTAGAAGAAGTTGTTAGTTACGTTCAAAAAAGATAGGACATACATAGAATTTATTAGCTACGATTAGATGGTTAGGAATGGTTTAAGTTTGACAGAGATGGTAAGATATTGTTAAAATAAGCTTATTCTGTTTATAAATATATCGTTATGGAAGGTTTAAATATGTCAGAGATGGTTAGAGTTACTTAAAATATGTTTGTTTTGATTAGAATGGTTATGGTTGGTTTAAAGGTGTCAGAGATGGTTAGAGATTCTGAGTATATGCTTGTTCTGAATGGTTATGATTTTGAAATTTCTCAGGTTAGAAACCGGAAGAAGTTGTTAGTTATGTTGGGAGATGATAAAAGATAGTTCAAATTTATTAGCTATAATTAGACTGGACATTGTTAAAATATGTTTGTCTGATCGGAGTTTTAAATTTTGGTTATGAGATGGTTAAAAACTAAGAGAAATTGTTAGATTTGTTGATTGTGAGATTCGTAGGAAGTTTAATTCTTGTTTTGATGTGATTTGGGGTTCTAAAAATCTATCAGTATATGGTAATTTATATGGTTAGGGATGGCTAGGAATTCTTAGATAACTATTCATTATTGCACATACATTTTAAGTAAAAACATTTAGGGTAATCCATCCTATGGAAAGGGTTGGTTTTAGTTGGGATGTGAATGATTTGAAAAAGCTGTCTCCAGAAATGATTAGCCTTATTTAAAAATGATGGGAGATGCTCACATATTTAATTTATTGAGGTTGATTTGAATATTTTTATATCAGGATTTTTTTCTATGCAAATTGAAGCCATTGTGGAGGAGCCCAGGGCCAAATTAAATCTCCCAGTACTCTCTGGTCCGATTTCTCATCACTCCCGTTTTTCTAGCTTCCGGCCATTACAACATTAAGATGTCACTCACTTCTTTTATGTTTGAAACTGATTGAAAGTGGATTGTGTCGATTCAAAAGGAAACCGTCCTCGATTTGTTTGTCTTCGACGTGTAAAAGGTCAAATTTAAATTTAAAAAGCAGGAAACCAAGTTGTTGTTTGCCTACAATCATAAAAAAACACTTTATTGGTGGTTTTGAACGAGGATTAGTCAAAATGCCTAAACAATGTATCGTATTTTTAAAAAGAGATCAGTAAAATAATTATCCGCACTGTTACATTATTAATAAATACGTTTTTGAAAACGTGTAACCTTAAACAGGTTATTATTGATGCCCTTTAAAAAAATAATAAAAACTTCGATACGACCCAAATAAAAAATAAGGATTAGGTTAAACGTGGAAGGTTTCTGATTAAAAACTTCTGGGTCAGCAGCTGTTGAAACAATTTTCTAACGTGCCATAGCCATAATTGTCAACCACTGTCTTTATCCTTCAGCCTATGCCCTCGCCATGCCCAAAAAGGATAAAAGGAATGTTTCACAGGTCGGTGATCTCAAAAACAAAAAATAAAACATAACCTGCAGATAAAGGGCAATATAACAAGTTAAATGGAACTGATTGGCCATGAACCGCGTTCGACCTCTTCCCTATTAACTTTCGTATAATTCTATCTTCATTAGTATAATGTACTTAGCTTTTTTTACGTTTTACCAAAATCTAAATTTGTCGAAAATTGAATATTTAACCAAGTGAAAAACATAAAGTGGAATTATCACTAACAAAAGTATCGTTTATTATAGATGTTCATACATTTTATATCGACGACAGATAATATATAATAATGCGTGATTAAACGAGCATTCACCATAATTTTTTATGAAATAAAAAAAATATAATTATTGTTTGTTAACCACTATGAGGGGGTCCCAGTACATAAAGGAATCTGTGTAGGAGAGGATTTGCAAGACAAATACAACAAACCTTATACCATCAGACTGCCAAGCAGACCTAAAAACATTGCCGTATAAAACTGTCACATCCAAAATCGTATTATGTATCCAAAACCTCGGAAAACCTAACAATATTGGGTGGCAGAGCACAAAGGAATTCTGTGTAATGGACAAGCAGACAAACTAGAAAGAGGAGAACCTCAAAGACCAAATATAGGCCCAGGAGCTAAGAATGGATCCGCACAAAGCAAAATAAATAAACAAAAATAAAAGTTGAACTCTAGAGGTGCCAGACACAGTTTACGTATGGTATAAGAACGGTCGTCAAACTAGTACACACATTGATACAGCTAAAGATTAATTTCAGGAAATAATGGGGTCTATACAGGTCCACTGGTATCTTCGAAAACACAAAGCATGGATATATTCAACAAAGATCCTTTTTTTTTGGAAGTGCAACTACTACCCATATTATTCTCGAATGAGAAACAACTGTTCACTGAAGATAATCTAGGGTGCCCAGATGACCTGGGAAAAATAATAGCATCAATGACCTTCTGCTTCATAAAAGAAACACCGAACCAATTGAACTAACCTAAGGAACTAGAAAAAGCACAATAAACCAAAGGGTGCAGTACTTGGGGAATATTAAACCACCGCTTCCTGTAACCTCGTCTCCATCATGATTAACTAGTAACGCTTAGGGTAATAATTATAGTAACAAATTTATGTTTTTTTAAATTTTATTTTATTGTTAGCGACGGGTAGGGATTATTAAGTTAAGGAAGGTTAGTGATGGTTAAACACAGGATATTTGGATAATGGAGGTCGTGGTTAGTAATGATTCGGAATTTTCAGGGATGGTTAGCTAAGGTTAGATCATTAGTTTTGGTTGTGGTAATAACACAAGAGTAACTTCCATAAGGGATAGCTGCAGATAATAAATAAATTTGGAAAAACGTAACTATAACCATCT